TGTACGCACGCTGACGTCTCTGCCGCAGTCGCTACGGCTGTCCCTGCCGCTAAGACCGCCGCTGCGGTCTCCTCGCAGCAGCGACTGCGTTGGGGCCGTCATGGCTCCAAGGAAGGCCGTGGTGGTGGTAGTGGTGTTGGCGGGGACAGTGTTTCTGCCGAGGGGGTTGAGACTGGTGTCCAGGAGCACCAGCAGCCGCAGCAAATGCTGCAGCAGTAGCCACAGACGCAGCCGTAGCAGCAGCAGCAGCCGTGTGCCCGCCTCCCGCCGGGGTGGCCAGGAGCGTCTGGCGGTGGTGGCCGGGATGGCGGCTCTCGCAGCTTGGCGTCTCCCAGCAGCTTCAGTACTGTGAGTTGTCAGTACCAGCTCCAGACTGGGCCCCTGCGTGGCACTGTCTGCCGTCGCCCGCACCCGACCGCCCGCTGCTTCCGCCGCCTTGACGACCTCTTTCGTCGCCGCTTCGGTCCGGCGTCGGACCTCACTGACTCGGCCAGTCTGCTGCGTCACGGTGTGCCTATGTTTGAGTTAGATATGGATCAGCTTAGTTCTGCCTTGCATTCTCAGTATGCTGACGCTTCTACTGTGTCTAGACTTTATTACCCTGTGTTCTCTAGCTTAGGCGTAGCACCTGTCTGTAGAACAGATTCCCCTGCTGCATCAGGCGTAGGACCGTTTGCTTTGTCTAGTCTAGGCTCCAGACTCGCTCCGCCCTCGTCTGCCGCTACAGCTTCACTGTCCTTCACACTTGACTCCGGTGCATTTGCCTGATTCTTCCGCGACCACACTGTGCTCACACTGCTTGCCGCGCCTGCTGCCGTCGCTCTTGCTGACCCCAGTTGTGGTCCTGTTGTTGCCCGTAGCTACACTACCCTTCCCTCTCCAGCGGTCCCCTCGGGTTCCCTTACAGGCCTGCACATCCCTTCGTTCTCTACGAACTTAGTTGGTGTCGGCAGTCTTCAAGACCTCGGCGTCACCACTACGTTTCCTGGTCACGAGCGGTTTGCTATCTGTACCGAGACCCCCTTAGGTACCCCCTTTGCGACGTTCCCCCGGGACCCGGTGTCTGGCCTGTTTACGCTGGACACTGCTTCCCCCCCGGTTGGCGCGTCCTCCCTGTTCCTTGCGTCTACCTAGGTCGCTGCGGCTTGCTCGTGTCGGTCGCTCACTCACCCGTCGCTCCTGTGGCACCACCGCCTAGGTCACCCCGCACTCCCGCGTCCACGTCACATGTCTCAGCACGGTCTCGTTCTAGATCTCCCTGCGTCGCTTCCTGCCCTCCCTACCTCACCTGCGCCGCCGTGTACGCTCTGCGTCGAGGGTCGGCTACGCCGTGCTCCTCACTCCTCCTTGCTTCGCCCTGCCACCGCACCTCTTCAAACCCTCCACCTGGACGTTTGAGGCCCTGCCCCCGTCCTCGGACCGCGTCGCGAGCGCTACTTTCTGGTGCTCGTCAACGACTTTACGCGTTACACCATGCTGTTTCCCCTAGAGCGTAAGGCCGACGTGCCCGACTCCCCGCAGCAAAATAGGGTCGCTGAGCGACGCATCGGTTTGGTTATGGAGGTGGCTCGTACCTCCATGATTCATGCACATGCACCCCATTTTCTGTGGCCGTTCGCCGTTCGCTACGCTGCTCACCAGCTTAACTTGTGGCCGCGCTCCCAGCGGCCGCAGGATTCACCGACTCTCCTCTAGACCGGGTCCCCTGATGACGCGTTTGCATTCCACGTCCGGGGTTGCCTCGCTCACGTTCGTGTCTTTGGCACGGACAAGCTCACTGCCCGCACTGTCCCCTGTGTCTTCCTCGGTTTCCCCCTTGACTCGTCTGACTGGCACTTTTACCACCCGCCGTCTCAGCGCTTTCTTCACTCGCGTGGCGTCACTTTTGACGAGTTTGTCTCCTTCTACCACTCATTTCCCCACCGAGGTCTCCTAGTTTCCCCTCCCCTGTTTCTTGTTCCCACTCCCCAGGTAACCCCTGCTCCCTTCCCCCCCCGTCTTGCTCCGTCTGGTGTGTCTCACGTCACTCCCCTTCCGTCAGTTGTCCCGGTCGAGGAGTCGGCTGACTCTGGTAGCCCCGCGGCGCAGTTCTCGCCGCCTGCCTCTCCCCCGTTGTCTCCTCCTCTGCTATCGCACTCGCCGCCATAGCAGTCGTCATTGCAGCCGCAACAGCAGCAACCGTCGTCGCAGCCGCAGCAGCAGCAGCAGCCGTTCGTGGACTCTGGGGGTGCTTGTGTTGAGGAGGGTGCTAGTCCTGGGGTTCCTGTCGTGGCTTGTCCCGGCAGGCCTGGAGGTGGCACCGGTGCTGGAGAGGGTCCTGGTTCTAGGGGTACTACTTATGGAGGTGCTTGAGTGGAGTGTTCCGGAGGTAGCCGTGGTGCAGCTGGCGGTCCAGGTGTCGGCGTCACGCAGCAGCAACAGCAGTCGCCGCCAGTGTCCGCCCTTCACCTGCTCGGCCCTCCCTCCCCTGACCGCTCGTCTGCGCCTCCCTCGTCGCCTCCTCCCCTTCCTGTCTACGGCCCTGTGTTCCCTCCTCCGGACTCGTCTCTGGCTCGTCGTTCCCCTCTTGTGTCTCCTCCTCTGTCTCTTGACCAGACGCCGCCGTCTCATGTCTCGTCTCGCCGTCCTTCTCGTGCTCGTCCTGTCTCTCCTGTTCAGCGCTCTCACCCTATGTTGCTTCGTTCCTGCGCGTCTCGTCCTCCCCTCCTACCGTCGCCTCCTCCGTCCTCACTTGTTGACGCGCCTCCCATCTCTGTTCCATGCTACTAGTCCCTGAGGGTGACCCAGATGCCTTTGATATCGCGACCCTTCGCACCTACTCTGAGGCGACCTTGGGACCCTGGGCCATTAGTGGATAGCTGCCATGGAGCAAGAGATGGCATTTTGGAGATCCACTGACCGACGCAGTTCCCCCACCTGGGGTGAACGTAGTCGATGGCTGGTCGCTCTTCAAGGTGAAGCGCCCCCCTGGAGAGCCACCTGTGTTCAAGGCGCGCTACGTGGCTAGAGGCTTCAATCAGCGTGAGGGGGTGGACTTCTTTCAGACCTTCGCCCCAACCCTGAAGATGACTACTCTTCGGGCGCTGCTACATGTAGCAGCACAGCGTGACTACGAGTTACACTCCCTCGACTTCTCCACTGCGTTTCTTCAGGGCAGCCTACACGAGCAGGTCTACCTACGCCGCCCTCATGGCTTTACTGGTACCTTCCCTCCTGGGACCCAGTGGCTCCTTCGGTGCCCGGTTTACGGCCTGCGCCAGGCACCCCGGGAGTGGCACGACACGCTGCGTGCTACCCTAGCTGACCTGCAGTTCTTTCCATCCTCTGCAGACCCCTTGCTCTTCGTTCATACTGGCCAGACTCCGTTCTACATCCTTGTCTACGTGGACGACACGGTCTTCGCTACTGCAGACAGAGACGCGCTAGCCTCCGTGAAGGCCGAGCTGCTGAGGAGACACACCTGCACTGACCTAGGAGAGCTGCGCCGCTACCTTGGCCTGCAGATCTCCAGGGACAAAGCAGCGCGCACCATCACTCTCTCGCACACTTGGTGCGCCAGGTCCTTTAGAGGTTCCGTCTCCAATTCTCCTCCGCACAATCCACACCTCTGCGAGCAGATCATAGGCTCTCATCTCCAGTTCGTGAGGAGTCAGTAGAGCCCAGTGGTCCTTACGCAGAGCTGGTGGGTTGCCTCTTGTAAATGACTTGCATTCGTCCAGATCTCGCATACCCTCTCAGCATCCTGGCTCGCTTTGTGGCCACAGGCAGACACCGGCCATAGCACTGGTCAGCCGCTAAGAGGGTCTTGCGTTATCTAGCAAGCACATCATGCATGGGGTTAGTGTTAGGAGGACGCAGGCCAGTGGTCCTTACTGGGCACACAGACGCTTCTTGGGCAGACGACGCTGAGACCCTTAGGTCCTTGCAGGGCTACTGCTTTAGCCTTGGTTCAGGTGCCATCTCAAGGAGGTCCACTCGCTCCTCGTCTGTCGCCCAGACCAGCTGTGAGGCTGAGATCTACGCCGGCGCCATGGCGGCACAGGAGCTCAGCTGGCTGACCTTCTTGCAGACTGACTTAGGTGAGCGGCCTAGCTCTGCCCCGGTCTTGTACGCTGACAACACAGCTGATATCTTAACTAAGGCGCTTGCGCCTAAAGATCATCAGCGGCACTATTTGCAGCTTGGTCTAGTTCCTGTAGAATCTCACTTGCTAGGACCTTGATTATGTACTCCTCTTTATATATACCTTCCAGACTAGCCTTGTGGCTTCTCTTCCAGTGGCTGGACTAATAGTGCCGCCCTGGTGTGTTCTTGTCTTGTTTGTACTCTCGCTGACTGGTCTTCGGACCCCTGCCTCGGAGGCTGGACTAGTAGTGCCACCCTGAGCTGCATGTTCCTAACTTTGCACTACCCCTTATCTAGCCTGGGGGGTGTGTCAACTTATACGTATGTTTGTATGTAGAAGTTATAGACTAGATAGGGTTGTGTTCTTAGGGGATACAACTCAACCCTATATCCCCTCTGTACTCACATGTTTCTAACAATTCTAGTATTCGAACAATGCAGGCATGGCAGGGATATGCAGCAGGCATGGCAGGTAAGTGCAGGCATGGCAGGAAAATGCAGCCATCGCAGGGATATGCAGCCATGGCAGGTATGTGCAGGCGTGGCAGGAAAATGCAGGCATGGCAGGGATATGTAAGCACAGGTAAATGGAGGCATGGCAGGTGCATGGAGGCATGTCAAACGGGTGGTGTGCATTGGGGCTGTGGAAAAAGTGTTATGAAGAATACATCCATCATGCTGGCCAAGGGAGAACGCTTCTTCCAACAAGGGGACGAGAAGGGCGTAAAGGTTGGGTTTTGCAGTGTTGCAATCTGTTAGGCTGATAAAAGCCCTTAGGATCTTTCCAGAGACTAAGTCCCAGTTGTAGAATGAGACTTGAGTAGTGCAGCGGAAGTTGAGTAGTTGAACCCTTGTACTAGTATATGAGAACAAGTGATTGATTAAGAAAAACAAGCATACAGCAATATATAGAAAATAGGAAAGTAAAGCAGTTGTAGAATACAGTTGCAGGAGCGGTTATCGAGTCGCACAGCGACTCGATTGTCGCTTCGGTTACCATCCGCGCTGCTGTAACGGTCAGTCGCAACCTCCGGTTGCGATCCTTCGAGTCCTTTCGTGTTCTTTGTCCATCCCCTCGTGTAACCTCCGTTGACTCGCGTACTCGTTACGATCTTCCTCGAGTGTGATGCTACACTTCAGAAACGCGTAAGTCCTTGAGATATTTCCAACACAATCATGCCGAAAGGGGACGTAGACAAAGGAGATCAGTGACAAAGGAAAGATGGGTTATGTGCTCAGTTGCTGTATCCCATGCGATGAACAGTACACAGCTGATGTTTCGGAAACAGACTATGTTATAAATCAATCGCAGCACATGATGCGAAAACAATCAGGCTTGTCCTGCCGACTTTGGCTCAAATTTCTCACTAAGCTCAGGGGGAGGGTCGTAGTGAATGCCATTAAAGGGCTCATCCATGTCTGATCGGTACGTGCTCTTCACTTTAAAATACGTGGCCTGTAAGATGGGGGAAGTAAACAAGGGAATATGTTAGTGCTGTTCCAAGCAGCTCACGCAGAGAGTGTAGTGAACCGCATCAATAAACTTATCCATGTGTTCTCTTCATCGTGAAGTGGCCTGCAGCAAAGGGATAATAGTGGAGGTGGAATAAATTGATATCCTGCTTTCTCACAAAGCTCAGGTAGAGGTTCGTCATAGTGGATCTTATAGAAGGGGTCATCCATATTTGCACGGTATGTACTGTCTACCTTGAAAAACATGCCCTGAAATACATGCCCTGAAATAAGGGGGTGGTGGAGAAGGTAGCACATGTTCATGCACTCTCATGCAGGTCTGTTGGAGGGTCTAGAGTAAATTCCAATAAACGGCTAATCCAGGTCTGCTTGGTATGTGCTCTTCATCAATTTCTCAGGCAGGTTATTTATCAAACTCTCTTCCAAGCCAACGGGCGGCTCTCGCATCGTAACCTTAATGGCATGCATTTCGAAGGCACTTGATCGCATGGCTAAGGAGACTCTGTAGCAGCTCAATCTGTGACTACATTGCTGGGACCAGCTCTTTAAAGTGTCAGGATAATAATGGCAAGGCCGCCTCAATGGCTGAAGCATCAGCACGCAGGAGCTCATGCTGGAAGAGAAGAGTGTGGATTTCCGAGCCCTCGCAAAGCTGATCCACTAGTGCTCAAGCGTACGAATAGGGTGACGAGTTGCAGGTGACGATCAAGAGTGTGCTAGTAATATGATTGCAGATGCGTTGCCGAAAGCAGCAAAAAAAAATCTACCTCCAGCAACCCCCTACGTGCTACCATCATTCCGACGGTATGCAGCAAAAAAGAAAAAGATGATGCAACTACTCTTTCTTTTTTTGCGTACCGTCTGATAGTGGAAGCACATAATGGCAGAGAAGCTGCAAGAGGTAGAAGACTACTTGCTGCTAAGGCAATGCATGCGTGGTCTTAAAACTAGCACACTTTTGCTCGCCAGCTGCGACTCGCCATCCTCTTGGTATGCATAGGCAGCAGTGGATCAGCATTGCAAGTGCTAAAAAATCCACGCTCTTGAACTCTTCCAAGATGCTTCCAGATGTTGCATCCATAAGCTTCACTCATTGAGATGACATAGTCAGCATCAACCTTAAAGATGCCACGCACTTCAGACTTGGTTATTCTTTGCCATATGATCACCCTCAAAACGCATGCCTCCAATGCTAGATGCAAGTTCCACACGTTGGCGTGGCAAAAAAGTCAAAACCTCAAAAGCATGCATGGGGAGTCGAGAAGGATGAGCATGTGATGGTGATGGCATGGCATGGTAAGAGAGTCAAGAGACTCTCGAGCATACATACGGAGTGTGGACTGCTTGCGCATCCAGACCCTGGACTTGGTCGGGTGGATCTAATGAGTTGACTCAGAAGTCACCTCCATACCACACATGCCGAGTGGGGAGCACTGAGTGGACAAGCAGTGGGAGATACTCACCACCACATCGTTGTAGAGCTTGGCCATCTCGTCTCCGGACTTGATCGGGTGGATCTTCCCAAACTCAAAAGCATTTTCCAGCCGTCAACGTCCGAGACGTCTCAAAAATATTAAAAAAGGAAGGGGAGTACTCACGGCATCGCTGCACAGCTTCGGCATCTGGTCCCTTAACCATGTCGGTTGGACTTTCTTCCTAAAGTCAAAGGCATCGCCGGACTTCCTGCCCAACCTCCTCATGACATGCCTTCTGTCTTAAAGGGGAGGGGAGTACCCACGGCACCAGGAGGTGGGGGATACTCACCACAATAATGTGCAGCTTGAGCTTGACTTTGGTCGGATGAACCTACTTCCGAAAGTCAAACATTCAGGAGCCTCTACAGCCGTATAAGGAGGTAGGAGGAGGCGGGGGGTATGGGGGAGGAGAGTATTCACAGCACAAGGAGGTGGGGGGGAGGGGAGTACTCACCGCATCGCTGTACAACTTGAGCATCTGGTCCCTTGACTTGGTTGGGTGGATCTTCTTCCCAAAGTCAAACGCATCGCCTGGCTCCCTGCCCAGCCTCCTCATGATGTGCTTCACGTCCTCCTCCATGTTCTCAAAGCGCCCCACAAAGTCGTACTTTATGCGGTCCAGGCCACATAGGAGCGACTGGTGGCAAAGAGGGGAGAGGCACACATGCAGAGAAGAATGAGAAGGAACGAGGAAAGCAGGTGCTTCACATCCTCCAGGTTCTCAAATTGCCCCACAAAGTCATACAGTATATGGTCCGGATTGCAACGGAGGGACTGATTACAAAGAAAGAAACGCATCGGAGTGGGGAGGGGCACAGAGTGGGGAGGGGATCACGGACAGCAGAGAGAGGAGACGTATGGAGGGGACCAAAAAGAAGGTGCGTCACTTCTTCCTCCATGGCCGTTTGAAGCGGCAAAACGCATACCAGAACGGCAATGCTGCACCTGTGGAGAAATAATCTCAAAACGAACCTGGGGCGCGAGGTGGTTGTCCATGTTCTTGCGGCGGTCGAACCGCATGCCGTACTCCACCAGCCGCACAAACTCTGGGAAGGTGAAGTTGCCTCCCGTGCGGTTGTTCATCTGCCGAAAATACGCCAAGTGGCCGAAGAAGTTCTGCCAAAGAGGGAAACAGGACACACGGGTGCAACACACGGGCGGGGACACAGGAGCGAGGTTGGGGAGGGAGTAGGGGTATGGACGTTGGGGTTTGGGTGAAGTTGCCTCCCGTGCAGATGTCCATCTGGCGGAATACGCCCAAGTGGCCAAAGAAGTTCTGCCAATGACGGTGAGAAGGAAGGATGCAGAGCAGGGAGCAGCAGCAGTGGATAGGGGGGAGGGGGGAGTTGAGGGTGGGAAATGGCCTTCCGTGCGGATGTTCATCTGGCGGAAATATGCCAAGTCGCCAAAGAAGTTCTGCAGCAGTCAGGAAAGGTGGAAGGACACAGAGCAGGGAAGCAGCAGCAGCACGGCAAAGTTCGTATTGTCAA